CTCTCTCTCTCTCTCTCTCTCTCTCTCTCTCTCTCTCTCTCTCTCTCATACACACACACACACACACACACACACACACACACACCCTGTGGATTCCCAAAGAGAAGAATGTGCTCTATATTTCAGAGGGAAAAAATAGAAGCCTTAACTGGTATAAAAATTATTCTAAAAGGACAAGAAAACATCTCATTAGTGTCTGGGTAATACTAGGCTCCTCCAAAATTATTAAAAATCTCAAGGCACAGTTATCATAAATGTCAATAAGTGTGCTGTTTTTGTTGTAGAAATCCCTGAAGTGGCTGGGTTCCCCAAATCTCCTGTGACCCTGGGCATTCCCAACACCCTCATCTGTCTAGTAGATAACATCTTTCCTCCTGTGATCAATATCACTTGGTTTTGCAATGGACATTTGGTTCCAGAAGGTATTGCTGAGACCACCTTTTATCGCAAGAGTGACCACTCCTTCCTCAAGTTCAGCTACCTCACTTTTGTCCCCTCCACTGAGGATTTCTATGACTACAGGGTGGAACACTGGTGCCTAGAAGAGTTTCTCCTCAAGCACTGGGGTATGTTGAAATCCCATCATCATTGTCTACCTTCCAATTCTATCCCCAAGCTACATTCTCTTGCCTTAACCCTTTAACCCCCATTGCCACAACTTTATTTCCCACAATTGCAAAGTTGTCCAATAATTGACTTCACTCTTTCCCAAAGTCTAGGTGTCTTGTGCATTTTCAAACACATGCACCATTTTCCCCACAGACACACCCTGTCCTGTGACTATGTTTCTTTTTTCTCAGAACCTGAGCTTCCAACCCCTATGGAAGAGCTGATAGAGACTGTGGTCTGTGCTCTGGGGTTGGCTCTTGGCCTCATGGGTGTTGTGATAGGTACCATCCTCATCAACCAAGTCCTGCACTCCCGTGGAACTTCCAGCCACCAAAGGACCACATGTGTGATAACCTAGAAAACAGACAGGTAAGGACTCAGATGTGTCATATCTGGAACTGGAGATGGGGAGGCTGGGAGTACAGGGCTTGCATCCTGTATGCCTGAATATATTTGGAAAACTTCAGGGCTAGCTGAAGAATGGCTTGACCTTGGGACAGGGGCACAGGCCCCATCAACCTCAAGCTGTCTGCTGTTTCAGATAATCACAATTTAAAGAAAGAAAAGGAATGGTTGGCTGACTCTAGCTGTCTGTACAGGCCTTGCTATATGACTTAGACCCACTTCCTGCTTTAGTTTATTGTATTGCTCCTTCCATGCCCTCCTCCCTGCCCTGCTTGAGTGGAATTCATGAAACATTTTTCCCACAGAGATTCCTTATTCTTATAAAATCTTCCAACTTAGTCTTACATGATTGCCTACCTTTCACAGAGAGACCTGTCCCACCCATTTACCTACTTGTCTTTTGGTCACCCTCATCCAAAATCTGTGTAAAAATTTAAAAAAATATATTTTTCTGTGGTGTCTTTGCCTAGAGTATACTTTTCCTCTGTCTTTTTCCTAGAACTGATTTAAGTCATGTTTAAGAATAGAAAAGCTTATGGTGAAATTTTATCAGATTTCTTAGGTCCTTAACTTCTTTATCAGACCATATTAATAATACCACAGCTGAAGTAACAAAATGATATTGTATCATAATAAAAGATTTTTTTACATTCTGTATTTCCTTTTTGCTCTCACTCTTTCTTTACCATTTTCAAATTCAGTGAATATAGTGAATAATTTATTCCCTAAATGTAGTATTTTTATGAAAAAACAAAGAGCAATGCTTAAGTTTTGAGTATTCAAGTAGCATTCTAAAAGCTATGGAATAAATAAAAACTTGAAATAAAATAATTTTAAAGTCATAATTGGATTTTCAAGAACATAAAGTCAAAATGTCCTCCACAAATGTTGGATTTGTGAAGATGGAAAAATGATGCAAGATGTCTGATCCCATATTTCACCCCAGCTGAGATGGAAGCTTTCTGGATTGGTCAGACAGAAGATAGAAGTGAGAACAAGAAAATAAGAAAATGTTGTGTGTTTCCCAGCAAGTGCCCCATACTTAGCTCGTTTTGTGGCTAACATCAATGAAAAAAAAACCAGAGAGAGGCAATATACTGGATAAAGGCACCTATAGCAGAGGCAGCTAGAGCCTCATCCCCTATGGACATTTATAATAGTATAAAAACATTTAAATCCACTCCATGCTCAAGCTCATAAATTGAGTTTATTGACATTATATCTTAGGCACTTTTATTATATAAAATATTGTATATTTCCTGAACATGTTAATCACCCAATATTTTAAATGTATGCCCTTCAGTAACCTCAAAATAGGTTTTTGAGGAGATGGTGATGCTAACTCATACCATTTTGACTAAAGGACCTAGTCTAGGTGCATGAGATATTTGCATATGGCAGCATAGGAAAAAATACTCTAAAACTGTGGAGAGCAGTGACAGAGAATGGGAGAGCAGTGACTGAGATTGGGGGGGTCTCTGATGACCTTATATCTGTGGCACACCAGGTTCCTGTGCGAGGATACAGGATGCCTAGCTGCTATAGTAATGCCCTGCCAGGGGAGGCTCTGTGCAAGAGGCTTATCAGCTTCAACCTTGATCTCAGGTACACAGCTCCTGGGAATAGAGGAATTCTCATGCTAGACAACCACAATGTTTCACCAGCTCTGCTACTTCTGAGCCTGCTGGCTTAACCAATGTACCCTCTTGAGCACTGCACAATTGCTCCTAACATTGCACATTGCGGTGTGGATTGCAACTATGGAGAAGCTGCACAGATGTTTTTAATTCTGTAATTTTCCTGAGTATAAAGAATAATGCTTGCATAGTCTTTATCCTAATAATGAGACATACATAAATAAATATTGCTGGTGTAACTCTCTAGATCTGTTCTCCATCAGAGAGCAATGCTCCACCAGTTGCCAGCTTTATCTGCAAAATATGCATGTGTGAATCTCTATATTTTCTAACTCCCCATGGCCCCTCACCAGAACCACCAATTTGGCTGTGCTGGTCATAGCATATAATTTCTGAATTTCTTATGATGGAAAATAGTCAAAAAGAATATCCCAGTGGTTTTTTCTTGTTTAAAATACAATTCACTATATACATTTTATTTACCATTTTGTACACTGTCTTAAAATGAGTGGGACTGCTTTTTTACTTGAGCCATTTTTAACCAAAGCAATACTACCTAAGTAATACAAAGTGTTAAAATACAGCATAAAGATATGAAATCAGGCATACTAATTCTAGTTAGAAATGTAACTATGATGTTACTTTTTTATAATCCATAATTATGTTCATGAAATCACACAAAGTCCCTTATTTGAAAGAAATGCATACATTTGTAGCAAAGTTTTGTAGTTACAAAAAAACAAAATATGCACAAAATTAATACTTATTCCACTTTTGTGTCATATTCCTAGATGCTTCACCCAAGTTACATGAGGGAAATGGAAAACTGAAATTAGAATCATCAGTGTTATCAAGTAGAGAAACAAATAAATTAAAATCTAGCACCCATCATCAAGAGTACAGTAAATATAATGCTGTCAAAAGAAACAAAGAAAATTGCTAGAAAACTGTATGAATCATATGCTTTCAAACCAGCAGAATAAGCCCTGCATACAATGGAACATAAACTCAATTTTTTCTTATTAAAGTATAGAAATGCAAGTCCTTTTGAATATTGTCAATGGGTAAAACTTGTTTGTAATGGCAATTCTATTAAGCTAATACAAAATGGGCCAGGAATGCATTTATGGAATCTGGGGGATTGTGTTGATTGTAATTCTTTGTTTGGGATATTAGACACTCTCTTTTTAATTTTTTAAAAATGAACATCAAAACATTAGATAAAGGTAAATGAGGCTTCCTTACATCTTAGCAATATTTAGATGGAAGAAAAATTAAATGCAGTCCACTCTTCTTTTGAAGAGGCTTTGCCTCAGCCCCAAATCTCTATTGCTTGAGGCAGTCTTCTTTGAGAACACTCAGAAGGCCCTTTCTTAAACACAAATCTATTTTTAAAGGTAGAGCCTCTCTTAGTAGCTGTGTCTTCATGAGACTAATAACCAAACTCTATCTTTCTTGTATACTCTCCCTATATGTGTAACAACCTCTCTGTTTTCACATTCAGTAAGTCAATGTTGCTGTCTTATCACCTTTAGCTCTAACATGAAAAACAGCTCCACATACATCATCACTGTGGTCATCAAAAGTTGCTCCAATAAGACACAGCAGTGTCTCTAGACAAAAGCAGTCAAGGTCACTTTGTCTTTGCCTTTTGTTCAGTGTCATGAGCCATCTTCCACCCCATTTGTTTTTCTCATCTTCCCACACAGGCTCAAAACCATCCTTAAAATTTGAGTAGTCATAGCCAGGCATTAAATTACTAGACAACTAGCTATGGCTTTATACAACCCCAAAGTCTTCAACTGTATCAAATCTAGAGATCAGTAGAAGGTTTGCTTGCCAAGTTTTACTTTTATCATTAAAAAAAAAAAAAACAGAATGCCCATCTATTCTGTAGAGGATGCTTTACATAGGATTCTGGGTTAGCAATCTCCTGATGAGAGTCTGTTTTCTCCTTTTCTGAAGGCAGGGGATTAGCAGTAGGGGTGGTTTCCAGTTCCACAGTCACCATCCTACAAGAACCTCCCCAGTGATGGTTGAGGCTAAGTTACAAATGCCAAATTTAGACCTGAAACTGGAAGTGGCAGGTCTCATGTGACACAAATCAAGACAAGAGGGAAGAAGTGAGTACTTCATGGAAAAGCAAAAATCTTATAAAGAAACAAGGAAAGAGGGAAGTGGTATAGCAAGTTACTAAAAAGCAGGAAAGCAAAATTTAAAAATAATAAATTAGGATTTGGTATCCTGTGACCCAGAAGATCTGTTTGGTTCAGATTTCATTCTTGGAGATATTCATTGTTAAAAGCATGAATGTTAAATTCTAATTTTTGGTAGCTTCATCAGAATCATTTTCTTTCAAGGTTTGTATTGACAAAAAGAACAAAGAAATGATTTAGATCTAAATAAATTGTTTTCTCTTGTGTTGTCAAAGTGTGAAAAAGAGGTATCTTGCATGTATTGATAATAAAATACCAAAGGGGTTGATAAGTTATTCCTTTGCTTCCAGACGCTGTTTAAGGGTTCTGTAGATCATGTAAAAGGGACACATGTCTCTCAGATAAGCAATGTAGGACAACAGTTTCAAGAACTCCATCATACTGAAAAACTAGTGACTTCTTGTCTTTCTAAATTAACAAGGGAATAAATGCTACTGTAAACCTGTTACTGATCTTGAGATAAGAAATAATATTAGAAAAAATAATTATAGATTGAGGGGGATAATTAAGTATAGGTCCACATTCTTGGTAAAACATAAAGTACAGCATATTTCTCTTTGGCATTTAACCTGTCCCTTAATGACGATCACACAGATAACTAACTGTTTAAGACAAGGACTATGGTACAGGTGGTTTTATTGGGAACAAGAATGATGGAAAAGAATAGGGAAAGGGTAAAGGAGGGGAAAACACTCACAAAAAAAGGGATGTGTTGTTAAAATTACTACTCTGGGCAATGGAGATGATATTGCTGCACAGTAGGCAGAACACCTTCCCTAACTGTCATCTAAAGGACAAAAGTCTTACCTATTGTCTTCGACTTCTGTTGGTTGAGGACTGCCTCCAGGGGCACTGATACCCTTAAGTTCCTAGGCTACACGTTAACATAGGCCAGATGGGCTCCTGAAGATAGCTCTGAGTAGCAGGACAAGATGTGCTTGAGGGAGGGAGTCTGAATTTCCTCATAACCTACCACAGCAGCTGCAGCTGACACCACATGTACCACAATGTCATGGTGGAGGCACCATATTCCAGCCCTTCTACTGCCAAGATCCAATGACAACCTTCATTAAACCTATTTTATCACTGAGCCTTCATGC